TATGATACAGTGGGGTATGCTATAACGAACGTAATTGGTTCCAGAACCTCGTTCGTTATAGCATTCGTTCGTTATAGGATTAATCCGTTCCAGGCCCCCAAATAAAACCGCTTAACACTGAAAATATTCTGTGGAAAATGTAAAAAATACGGTACTTTATCTTACCTTAGTGTTATTCAGCATGCAGGTACCCCTAAACACTGGCACATCACTATCACTTCCACTGGGAGTCTTGGCTTTAAGGTCCTCAAACAATTGTTTAGCCTTCTCACAAATTATAGCTTCACTAATGTTACCACCTGCCATTTCTTTCTCCTTTATCCACACTAAGAGTAAATTTTCCATCTCTTCAATCACATTACACCTTGCTTTGCTAAGTCTAAAGATTCCCTTAGCCACTTGCACAGTTTTTAACTCCTCTTTATTCTTCAAAATCGTACATATAGTTGATTTAGCCATCCCATATTCATCACTAAGTTTCGCAATGCTTCTTCCATTCTCACGTTTCTTTATAATTTCTTTCTTAGTTTCAAGGGTTATTAGCTTTCTCACTCGCTTTGGACGACTCATTGTTACAATTGTATACTTGTATAACAAAATAGTTATACAAATAACGCGAATTTCCACATCAAAAGACGAAATTTCAACAATAACAGTGGTGCACTGGCTACACAATGAGACAAAGATGGCGCCTGACGCTCTTGTTGTGGGTCGCGGTACAACAATATTCATGCGCCAGGCGAAATAGTCCGGTATTCATCCGTGTTCGTTGTAGGAGTTGCGTTCGTTATAGCATTCTCAATTTTATAGGTAAAACCGTTCGTTATAGGAATATTCGTAGTAGGATCCGTTCGTTATAGCATACCCCACTGTATTGGGGTATTCTCGTCATGGAGGAACCAAACCCTATTTTTCCAATATGTTTTTCTATTCTACATAAGAAAATTCATCCAATGAATGTGTTTTTTGAAACCTAACCCATTTGTATCTCGGGAGATACCTGTGCCATGACCTTTGTAGTTTTTATGATTAAAGATTGATTTTGTGTGTAAATTGATTTAAAACATTTATTGCTTATGCAATCATTTTTTGTGGTCTTACCACTGTCACAATAAAGGTCTAATATATTGCTTATGGGTGAATAATAATGCTGTCTGGCCCAAATCTCCCTTGAAGTCATGTCATAATTACAGTTTTCATTAGTGCGTGGTTTTCAGGAACGTATTTTGGTCGTTAATCGAAGTTTGCCTGTAGTTCTTTATAGCTGTCTGAAAAATTTGCACACAGTATCTAGGACTAAAATTCTTCACATCAGATATAGTTCTGTACTTGCCTGTTGGTAAAAGACACATGTTTGGATTTTGGGGTATTGGTTTGGCATAGTCCTGGTGGTGTTGATCATCTCACCATCTCAGGGCTTTTAGTGGTTAGTAATTGGTGGAGATTTTAAATGTGCCTCCATGCATTCTTTTGGGGAGGAAAAAATTAATTGTGAAATTTTTTACACACGAGTCCTCCCACGTTTTGGGCATTGTAGGTGGTTGCCAAGTAGAAATTCAATCCCGGTATGTTTAAGTAGAAATTTTTCTCGCCGTTTTCATTTTTATAGTTTTTACTTCCCATTGTAATTATAGTATGAACGTGAACAAAATTATGATAAAAATGGTCCCCAGGGATAAGGAAATATGTAATATACGGGTACTGAACTTTTGAATTATATACCTCTGACTAGCAAGGTACAATAGTGTTGTTTTTGATGGCTAGATTATTTTGGTCTGTTCTGAATCTCCAACAGCTGAAATAAATAATATGCAGTAGAGTAGTTTATACACTCCATTACTCTACAGGTATCCCTCGCTGTACGAACGTTTAAGATATGAAAATTTGCTTTTACAAATTTCCTAAATGACCACCTCCTTATTATTTCCCGTAAGCTTTCCCCGCTTGTATGAATTTTAGTTCAAGCAAAAATTCTAATCATATGTCCCCCCCTAGTCCTCTCCCTACCAGGCTGAGGTGTGAGCTATGTTATACTGTACTGTCGTTATTTTTCAACTCGTAATTTTGGGTAGATAAACATAGCTTTCTTCACTTTTTTTTTATTTTTATTTCTTTTACTAAGTTACATGCACTCAATCCTGTATAGAAAATGTGAAAAAAAATATAAGGTAAAAAACATGGAGGGAATAAAGATCTCTCTGCGCCAGCGAGAGTTAGCAGGCGAGTTATGTTAAAGTTATTTTGGGCAGATAAACTTAACTTTCTTCAGGTTTTTTTACTCGGTTACATGTACACACAATCCTACATATGTAATTTAAAAAAAAATTAAAAGAAATATCTCTTACATTTCTTTTGTGTGAGAGTGGGAAGGGGGAGCGGAAAGTCAGGTGCTAAGGGTAGGCAGAGGCAGACATCCAGTTGGGCTTTGTTGCGTTGGCGAGGCTTGAGGTCACGCAGCCAGCACCTATGCAAATGGTGGTTGGGTTAAGCTTACATTTAGCTTTTTCTTAATGGTTTTAGCTGCATATTTTTATTTGTATAGTATTTAATGTTTAACCTTCTCGCCCTATCAATAAGTTTTTAAGCTTCCATGAACACAACAAAATTCATATGAAACTACTCACGGGAGGCCAATTTATCCCACAAGAAATATATTTTTTCATGATTTATACATCACTGACTTTATTACTGTTTTGGCTTTAACATAAGCAGAAATAATAAGACTAGAATGAAGAAAACAAAATTGTTCCCAGCATCATGTCTGACATTTTCTCACAAACCTATCAATGTTTTATAGTTATAGAAGCAGAATTTTATGAGCTTTCCAACAGTGGCTTTGGAATTTTTATATGACTAATTGTGGGGAGGATGGGAGAGGAAATAAAGAGACAGGTGCGATGTACCAATATGGCTGACAGGAGGACTTTAATGGACAGCGGAACTCTGCCCACGTTTTGGTAGTTTCTGGAAGCTTCCCTCACAAGATCATGTAATCATTTATAACACAACTATCTGAAATTTTTTTTTTTTATAATGTTTAACCCTTAAGCCCCAGGTTAGGGTGCCGCTGGGCGTACCCCCCTAAATTGACAAAAATCAACTTTCTAAAAAATAATTTTTAACCTTTTTAAATGATAAAACTATAAAAAAACGTAAGCCAAACTATATATTGATCCTCTAGAAACTTCCCTGACAGCACGGAGGGAGGGAGATAACGGGACAGCTTTTTGACGGCGAGCACTTGTGGTCACCTACTCACTTAGCAGCTATTTTTAGCTTGCCTTTGTGTCTGGGATTGCCAGTAATGCATATATTTACTGATCATAATACTTATTTGCTATAAATAATTCATTTAGAATATTTTATTTGCATTGTTTTTCATGAAAAGTGCTCGGCAACACACAAACAGTCGGTCGCCAGGCTGCCTGTGTTTGGTAGAGCAAGTAATGCATAAAATGATAATTAGACAAATAAATACATTTATAACATAATCATAGCATTATTTTTCAGTAATACTACACTACAACTACACTACTTTTAGCAATATTACTTTGATACAACATGATAAAATGGACAAAATGAAAATGAAACGAGCAAAAGTAGGTAATTACGTTCAGGAAGCTTCCCTGTGGCCGAGGTGTGGAGTGACAGGCAAATAGTCACACTGGAACCTGATCACCCATGCTGGGCATTTTAACAGTGGCAGGAAAATGCGCGCGTCACCCGGGGCGTTCCGGAGCGGCAACCAGGGTGTAAGGTTTAATGATGCAATACGCACCACCGATGCAAATTGTGCAACCCAATGATTTGACGCAATTTGCATCATAATGCGCAAGAGGGTTAATGTGTTAGTTAGTAAATTACAGTACTGTAGTAGTGAACTATTTATCATGATTTTTTTTTTTTGTTCATGAATCGATTGAATGTTTTGGGGGGCATGATATTGGGGTTTTCTTATCAATGGGGAACCAAACCCTATTTTCCCCATATGTTCTGTTATTCGAGATATGAAAATTCACTTCACGAATGGTTTTCAGGAACCTAAGCCATGTGTATAGCAGGGGATACCTGTGTTGTATTAGTAAATTCACAGTTCCAGAAAATATGAGAGCCTCCATGAACTACATGTGTATTATTGTTGCAGTATTACAGGGATACAAGTAAGGTTGCCGTCATGATTTTTTTTAACCCGTTGGTTATGGTAAGATTTTATAATTGGTTGCTCTCGAGAAACCACATGAGGACTGCAAGTTGTTCCTCGTCTATCCACCTGTCCTTAGCTTTTTATTTCCGCTCATTACACACAAATCACTGATGAGTGTTTCATTAACATTAGCTGAAGTATTAAGATGATATAGCAAAAATATAATTTTAGTATTTTTTTAAATTAAGCAAAGAATATTACTGTATTAGCTTTATTTTTTAATTGTCTTTTTTTTCAATGGTGTTATGACACAGAAGCCACTAAATATATATTTTCATCTCAGTGTGTAAAATTTTGGAGGATAATATGACATTAACTGACTGGCACTGTTGCATTGAGGTACAATGTGACACTGTTAGGAGACATGTACTGTTGTGTAGTATAGCTTGGCTATAAAGTAAGTTGATTTCTCTCCTCCTTTATTCTAAGTTTAAAAGTAGATTATTTATGCCTTTGTATGATTTATTCATGATTTTTATAGTGTGATTAAAAAATCTTTAATTTTGAAGAAGTTAGTGTATTGAATATATACAGTATTATCTTTTCCAAATTGAACCAGTTAGTGTATTGAATATATGTGTAGCAGTAATAGAGAAAAAATGTGAATGATGTTTGTAATGGGTAAAATATGGATACGTAATTAAAAAAAGAGAACTGTCAGTGAGTGTTAGAGGGTATTCTCATTGATGTTGAGTGGGTGGATTACTAAGGAAAGTATGGGCCCAGCAAGTGCCTCTTGTGTAGAGGAATAGCTGGCACTAACGGCTATGTGTGTCACTCTGACTGGCTGCTACAGGAAGCAGGCGTGTTTGGACAAAAAGCAGCAGTTCCCTCCAGACCATTCATTCAAGTGCCGAGATGGCCACACCCGCACTGACTACCTACGGATGAAAGAAGAGTTATACTGCTGCCGTCATGACCTCTGCAACTCTGAGTTACCAACTGGTAATCCACCCCTGCCTAGTTTGCTTACAGAGGCTCCCAGTCCAGGGAGTGGGCCTGGTAAAGGGGTTAGGGAAGGTAAGGCCAGCACCAGCCCAGGCTCCCTTCCCATCACCAGCCTGAACACCTGACTCATAAAGATTGCTTCTGTATATATTTAACAGGAAGCTCCTGTTGTCCCTGAGCAGGAAGACTGGTGTTGGGCTTGGGGAGGCTGGGTGATGGCACCTAATGCTGTGTGATTATTGGCTTCCCTGCCCCACCTTGTAGGCTCTTTACTAACCACACACAAGCAGTTTGACTACCCTTTTTATCCTGGTTTCTTGTGACTTCTATTTTACTTGTGCACAGCCATTATGCTTTAATAACCTGTAGCTCTCACCTCACTATTTTCTCTTGGTCTTCCTGCTGCCGACATTAATACCACCTTTGATTATGCCATTTTTAAACTCCAGGTTCATATTTATAAAGACAGTAAAATAATATGCTTAAGGCACTACATACTTATCTTACAGTTTGTAATTTTCAGAAAGACTTGTCAGTAATGGGACAAGTTTCTGTCAATGTCTTTATGGATTGCAATTCCTGGCTAAGAGTTGAGCCAATCATTGACACACTGCACATAATTTCCAAATATTATTATAATATGCATATTACTCTGCATTGCCATTGCTAAGGCAGTTTAACTGGTATAGGATAAAGGTAAAAGTTCTTTAAACAGGATGGAATGATGCTTGGGGGGGCCTTTGTTAATGTTTTTTCTTGTGTCTTGGGCTGGTATATTCTTCATCTACATGCTGTCTGAGCTAGCATCTTGTATGGTTTGGTGACTTCTCTTGGCCAAATGCGTATTAAGGTTGGTGGCTGTTTTAAGCTGCAGAGATTGGTTGTGTCTGCACCTTCAGTTGTCATGGTACTGTGCTGGTTCTTAGTCTGGTTTATTCACACTTGGTTGGTATACAGAAGGGGCTGGCAACTTCTTAAATGACTTAGCACACCAAATTATTTTATGACAGTTCTTTATTTCACTGCTAAGGCTGTACAACCCTTCTTGTGTGAATTTTACTAACATTGGTTGCTGGTCTCTGCTGTAAGGTGGTAAGATGTAGCTGTGGTTCTCATTCTTATAGCTTTTGGTGAAGGGATTATCTTTTTGTGATTATTTTTGTCTAGAAGGTAAATATACAGTATTGTTGAATTAGATGTTCTAATAAATATTATAAATTTTGATTTTGTTTCAATGAGAAAAGTATTTTTTTACCTGAAGTGTTATGTACAGTACAGCACAGTACAGTATCATACTCCTGGTATGCATAGTATTAAGTAGCTGCTGTATATGAGCAGTATGTGGTTACATTATTGTGATTTTAACCAGAAATGAGGTTGAAATAAATTTTTATTACTGTACAATTTAATTTTTTTGTGATTTATTGATTAAAAGTAATATATATATATATATATATATATATATATATATATATATATATATATATATATATATATATATATATATATATATATATATATATATATATATATATATATATATATATATATATATATATATATATATATATATATATATATATATATATATACACTATATATATATATACCTGTGTGAAAACTGCTTGTATGTAGAATAAATTTAGAATTTACATGAATGCCTGTATGTAGACTAATTACAGAATTAATATGTACTCAATATGTGTAAGTTGGTACTTCATTGTGTGGTGCGTTAATCTCATATATGTAACCACCTTTTTTTTTACTGCAAGATATTAAAAGTTATGGAAAAGTGAACCCCAAGTACAGTACAGTATTATACTATTAATATCATTGTGAACCTATCACTTTGCAATTGTTATACTCTTACACTTCTTATGAACACCCTTAGCTGTATGGAAGTGTTTCAAAATTTGGCATCAATAGTGTAGAGAGTTATAGTAATGTACTGACTAAGGATTGAAAATTGAGGCAGCATGATATAGTACAGTAGTCATATTTTGTAAAATAAGTGTAATGGACCAGAAACTTTAATTCTTTTGCTTTGGTAACCTGATAAAGTCTGCTCAGCAAATTAGTACTATGAACATCATTGATTGTATCTTATATCATAAATGGCTTTTTTCTTATTTTGATAATGTTTTGAGTGGTTTTTTTTAGTCCCTCTCCTTAAGGCAAGTGGCTCTTCTTCTGTAGAGGGGCTGTTGAAGACTCGGTAATTGAGTGGAGCCATTGTTAAATTGCCTCATAGGTGGATATAATAAGAACAAAAGTATCGGCATAAGAACATAAGAACAAAAGTATCGGCATAAGAACATAAGAACAAAAGTATCGGCATAAGAACATAAGAACAAAAGTATCGGCATTTGGTTAAGAACCACTACCTTATGGGCATGAGCGTACACTTATGATTTATTTTATAGTTTTGAGATTGAAAGAGGGAGTGAGCTTAGTAAATGTGTTGTGTGTATTGAATGTTTTATTAATGAGCCGTATGTAAAAAAATCTCTCATGGATCATTTTACGCAAGGAACAGGTTATTTTCTGATGCTCTGCAAGATGTTAGTCTGAATTTTTTTACTGTGATTTTATTTAATTACAGTTTTGCAAATTGAAGGTTGATCATTGACAAATAGAAAAGTCTGGGCGATGTATTTTCTTTTAACAAGTATTCTCTAGTATTTGAGGTAGTGATATAAACTTGTTATTATCAAGTGTAGCTACTGTACTGTTTTTCATTTGATAGAGGTATTAAGTTATTGAAGGTTTTTTGTTGAGGTAATCATTTGTTCAATTATGTTGTAGAGCATTGCAAGAGAGATTGCCAAAACAGATATACAGGGTATTTAGTTTCCATGGACAATATATTGCATTTTTTGTCTTTTTTTGGGGTTGCCCTGCACTACTGCATATCCCAGGTGATATTGATAATATATTTAACATTACTCTTCTACACAGTTAAGAGTACACACACACACACCCTCTTGCATATCTCTCCAACATTTCATGATCCATCCCATGCATCCAAGGAAATTAATAGGCAGTCTAAAATGGAACTACCGGTAGTGTTTATAGGCTCATTATGTTTTTGTACAGTACATACATTTTTGTTGATGATTCCCATTGATATCTCTAATTTATCTCATCAGGCAGGGAAACTGGTGATGATTATCAAGGGACTACCCAGTGATTTTATGGGGAATTATTCATCACTTTATTTTCTGTCTTGTTTTCATTTCCCTATATATATATACACAGTATATATATATATATATATATATATATATATATATATATATATATATATATATATATATACTGTGTATATATATTCACATCTTCGGGGGTGAATTACACGAAAGCGCTTGGGAACTTCGTGTTTTCTTCTTTCCTTGTGGTTATCAGCATATACCTAGATCACGTGCACCTACAGTGATTTACTTGCATATATATATATAAATATATTTATTGTTCATACTCAAAGAACGAATTCACCTACCGAGTGAAAAAAATGACCACAATGCATTGTTCACACCAAAATAACCATAAAGCAAAATTTTGTTATAGGTTAGGTTAGGTTTGTTTAGGTTAGTTTGGGTTGGGTTCGATTTGGTTTGGTTAGATTAGTCTAGGTTAGATAAGGTGGTGGTTTTGAGATAGTATACTACAATGCTATTTTTTATACTCTTTTCATCAACATAACAATTGCAGGTGGTAGTGGTGGGGTGCAAGGAAAAAGTTATACAACTACAGTACAGTATTACAAATACCCAGAAAGTATTAGTTTTCTATGTTGGTTTTGTGGATGCTACCAGACCCACCTCAAAATATTTGCTCTTGTTGTAGACATATTTTCTACAGTTGAAAGGAATGTGTCTTGTTGAAGGAAGGGTTCAGTATTCATACTTGCCAGTTTGATAGACTTTGGTTAGAGGAAGATATCATTTGATTATCATACATGTACAGTATCTCAAAAAGTATGTCCACACTTTTTGAAACTTTGAGATGACGGATGATAAATATTGGGATATGCATTTGCTTTGGTATATAGTTTAACATAAGTATTGCAATGTGTATTTATTTTGGCGTAATTAACATGATGTTCGGTTACCAAATGCAATAGGATCAGTATGCCACAGAGCCATGCATACCAACCCTCCCAGGACATGATGAGTTACATGGAACAATTTCAAAAGTTATCAGACTCATATTGGCAGATACTATTTTGAGATATATCACCATAGTCTTTTAGATTAAAATCTCCCAGTGTGCTGTATCTAATGGTTATACAAATAGTGTATTGAATACATGTATCCATGTCTCCAAATGTCATCTCCAAACTCTTGCCAATTTAACACGATAAAAAATATGAGTTTGGTACTAATTATTGGTTGTATTTAATTCCTAGAGGATGAATAAGGCAACTCCTGGCCATTTTCCACTGGTGGATGACTACTGAAGATTTGATAACATTTGAATCTTACCATAAACTCCTGGTTTATACCATCAAAGGTTCAGGGGTCGGTAATAAACAGGACATTATTCGAGTCCAATGTGGGAGCCTCGTGGGTGGACACATGGCTTGTGGAAGCTATCCCACTACCAATAGCATATCGCTTTCATCACTCAAATTCACCTAAGGTTTACAAGATTAATAAGTCAAATAGATGAAAGTCACTATCTTCACTTATATCACTTAACACTACACAAGAGAAAGTCATCTTTGTCTCCAGAATCAAGTATAATAACGTCTATTTCTTCCTGCGTGGGGTGCTGCACATGAGCGGCTGCAGTACATTTTAACCTGGCTCTGCTTCATCCATTGCTAATGGGCAAGAGGTCTACACTGCCTCTTGGCAGTTGCCCAGAAGGCTCTACGAAGGTGCTCAGAAAGTATAGCACATGAGAAATATAGCCCATCAATGGTCACCACGTACTGTATATACAGGTATATGTGATTTTGGCCGCTTTGGTTTCTGGTCAGCGCGCATAGTATACAGTGACCCTCGTTTAACGAACACCTCGGTTAACGTAATTTCGATTAACGAACTGCCTTCCATAAGGATCTTCAA